GTAAAATCTCAATTAAATATTCAATAAAGATAGAGGCATGGCCTCACCATTAATATTAAAAAAAAAAAAAAAAAAAATGATCATGAGAAACAACAATTAGTAAACTACTGTAAAAATATGTAAAAGTTAAAGTTTGATCTTACAAGATCAGGTTTTATTATTATGTGATAAATATTGTAAACAACAACTGTAATCATTTTTTTAAAAATAATGTGTCTAGCAAGTTTAGTAAAAATGTTTTATAAGAGATCATTCTGATTTGTCTTTTCATGTACCTTAGATTTTGTTAGAAGTATATGTACAGAAAGCAAATTCAATTATTGTTAAAGATCATTTTGATAAACTCTATAAAATAATTGAATAATATTTATTTACTACTAATCAAATCTGAAATATAGATGAAACTAACTTTGTTATATTCTTCAAGATATTGCAACAAAAGGCTTATATCAAATACACAAAGTTTCATATAAAAACTCTCATAAACATATCTTTGTTCTGATGATTTCAACTGCTGCTAGCTATATATCACTTTTAATTATTTATAAGAATATTTGTACAATTTTGAATTTATTGAACAGTACCCTAGCTGGCACTGTTATAGGCTTTACTAACTTAAAGTACATGAAAGAAGACCAGTTTTAAATATATATTAAACACTTTATTGGTTCTATTCTTCTTTGATACCTAGTTCTTCTAACTCTTAATAATTATAAAAACTATATAAATTATACAAGTGTTAATTTTTGTTATGAAAATAAAATTCTTCTATATGCTCTTCCTTCACATACAACCAACCTATATCCTTCAACCATTTGAACTTTCATTTTTCAAACTAAAAACTAAATACAGCAAAGTCTGCAATAAGCTTCATAGTAGAAGTAGTAAATTAGTAATCAAACATACATTCAACAAAATGGTTAGTCTAATATATATAAAAACTTATATATCTAACATGATTATTATTTATAAAGCTATGGAAATTTGACTTTTTAATCTTAATATTATTAATTCAAATTATCTTGCTCTCTCTATATATACAGAATGAATTGATGTTTTTACTTTTATTCCAACCAACTAATTAAGAACTTCTTTTGAATATTGTATTATCATTTTCTTCACAAAATTCCTCTATATCATTTTAAATCATCTATTATTTCTTTATTTTATCTTTTTAACAAAATCATTCTTTTACTTAAGTTAGTACTGCAATAGAAAATGAACTTTTAAAAATAGAAATAATTTCTTTAAAAAATAAAAATAAAATGTTAAAAAAAGAACTTGAAACATTTAAAAATCCTGATACTTGCTCACTAAAACTAACTCTTAAATATTTTATTTCCTGAGTATCACAAGAAACTAAATCAGAATCCCACTAGGCAAAAAAAGAAAAACTCTCTCCTTCACTTGACTTCTTACTAATGAGAAATCTATATAAGCATTAAAAGAAATAGATGAGCTAGCAAAAAACAAAATGGAAAGCACAAAATGAAAAAAAGAAGCAGCTGCTCAGAAACAAGCTGATAGAGAGGTAAAGAAAGCACAAAAAAAGCTGAAATAAAAAGAAAAAAGGAAGAACGTTTGCATAAAAAGAGTAAAAAGAATATGATTAACGTTAACGTTAATGCTAGTTAATCTTTGATCACGTGGCCATATATAACGTTTGGATTAGAGTTACTTTTTTGATGTAGTATAAAGAATAATATGCATAGTGCGCCAGAATACCTCCTGCTAAGAAAAAACATAACGGTTTTTCGATAGTTTTTGAAAGGTCGAAAATCATATTTTTGTTTATAGTAAAGCTTTTTTTTGTTTTACTATTAAGTAGTAAATTGTGTCTTTAGTTTATTTCAATAAACCTTAAGAACAACTACGTTTTTCCTGAAAATTTTTACTATTAGAACTCTTATGTGCGCCAGAATACCCGACCCTCCCTTATATTTTCGGGTTCATTTTTAGCGTGCTCTATAAGGTAACATCTTTTTTATTTATTGTTTGAAACATAGCGAAAACTCTATTTTCATGTAAAATTGTGATCATTGATGTTTTTTTAATAAAAACATAAAAAAAGTAACTTTGTATTTTTTTGTCTATCGTATTGTATTTTACAGTACCTGTTGGTATTATCAAATAATTTTGAATCTTAAAAAAAGAATGTTGGATCTTGGAATCCAAGGCCTTGTTATAAATATGAAATTTTGAACGATAATATGCAAAAAAAAAGTTCCTCTGAAAATCAATTTTTAAATAAATCATAATGCAAACATTAAATTAATACAACTACTTTTATATCTCAAGTAAAAAATAAATTTATTCTAAATTGATTTATGTCATTTTCGGCCTTTTTCCATATATTTAGAAAAAAAAGGTGCAGGTTTATTATTGTATTAAATAAATCAACCAATCAACTTCGATTTTGCAATAATGATCAGCCATATGGTTGAAATTCAAAAAGCGAAAAACTCGATTATACTACTTTCTTAGTTTTAAAATAAACAACAATGTCATCATGGATATTGGCAATCACCTACATAGGAGGCATGTTAATAGTGATGAGCGCTTTTTCTTTTATATGGCGAAGTCGAAAAACTGGTATAGTCTTTTAAGTTATTTAATTTTTGAAAGTTCCTTTTACCGGACTGTTATATATAGCATAGAAAAAAAAAACAAAAAAATAGATCTGTGACAAATATTTCAACAATTAGATTCGCTAAATTATACCTTTTTTTTGGAATCAATTTTTTTATTCTTTGGACTAAGTCACAACAAAATATATGCCATGGTTTCCTGAGCACACTACAAAAGACGCTTATATTTCTCTCTTACAACAAAAATCTCCACCTGCTACCGAGCTTCAACTTAAGGCAGCACTATTACGTCGTGCCATGACTGACGTCGATCGGATGATAAAATTAAGTGAAGATAGATTTGCTCTCGTTTCTCTGGTACAAAAAGGTTTGGTCGGTGAAGAGCTCTGGAATTCTTTTTTGAAGGCTGAACAAGAGCTCCAACAGGACTTAATGGATGTTACTGCTGAGGCCGATACTTTTAAAGAAGACTGGGGTCAAACAATACTTCAAACTGCTAATCAAATGGTGCAACACGAAAAAACTAAAAAGTTTCAGGAACACATGAAAGAATTGAAGGAAAAAGAGGAAATAGAATTTAAAAAGAGGGAAGAAAGAGAAAAGGCCGAAGAAATTGAATATGAAAAAAAAGAGAATGCTAGGCTAGAGAGAGAAAGAAAAAAAGCTGAAGAGGAGTTATTGAAAATGGATGAAGATCAAAAGAAGAAATCAAATGCTGGAAAAGATAATAAAGGAAAGGGTAAAAAAAAGTAATTTAAAAAATAATATAAAATTTTACTACTTTAGATAAATAGTGTTAATTCATCCAAATAAACAATAAATCAATCAATTGTAATTGATTTGCTTATGATTTATAATTTTAAAAATTCTATCCGATCTTGGTAGAATTTTGTTATTACCTTACGGCTGGCTACAATTTTTATTTTAAACTTTAAAATTATATTGATATTAATTAGAAAATTTTGGTTAAAAAATTAAAAACAAATTAATAATTAAATACACTTTATGTAAAAAAAAAATAGATTTTTTTTTTTAATATATCAGATAAACCTATATATTTCTTAGAATTCGGTTACCCAAAATTACGGGGGATTTTATTTTGATTATATGTAAATCGATAGTTTTAGGTCAAATCATAGGGAAATCGCAAAATTAAGTGTATAATTTGGGCCGGACAACACAAATTTGGCCAACCTGGTCGAAGGTTTCTGATTCACATGATCCGATATTTCATGACAAGAGTTAGAGGTTGGAACCGGTTTGAATAATTCGAGTTTATCACATTAATTTTGGGATATTCAACATTTATCCAAATTTAATTGAATAAATTTGATAAATCGATGGGATAAACTCGAATTATTAAACCCGGTTCTAACCTATAGCAAGAGTTCTATAAATTAGATTACTATTTTCTTAACGTTAAGAGTATGTACTAAGATATTTTAATACGTAATAAAAAGCTTAGCCAAATGAAAAAAAAAGTTTCAATTCAAAGTAAAAAAAAATAACAACATTCTTTTCATTATCAAATTAGAAAAAAAGAAAAACATTTTTTTTTTTCAAGCAAAAGAATAATTTGATTCAATTCGAATAATTTATACCTCAAAGTTGTCGCAAAAAAAATATATATTACGTAATTTATTTGCTAATAATTTTTACAATTCCTCAAAATATTTTTCTTCTTCATGCCACGATATAGTACTTCCACTTTGTGGAGTTAAAGGTGAATCATCCTGTTTATCACCACGCAAACCATCAATATCATTAACTTGAGAGGAACTTAAAAATATACGTTTTGATTGATGTTCATTAACAGATTCAATCATATTATCAGCCATTTCATTAACACCCTTAATATCTTCTGAATCTTTTATATTTACATCATCAATATTCCGTTTTCTACTAACTATTTTCAATCTAATCTTTGTTGGAGCGTTCAACTTTGGTTCAGGTGATGAACATGATCGTTCATCAGTACAAATTTCGTGAAGTTCATAATGATTTTTTGAAGTTGAATCCAATTGTGAATCTGTTTCTTCATTATATCTACTAATATACTTATTAATTCTTCTACTCAATCTTCGTGATAATTTTGCAGGATCATGAACTTCACTTGGAATATTTTCTTTGATTGATTGCCTTTCCTCAGAAGAAATCTTACTATTACGTTCAAGTTTACTAGATAATTTTGACAAAAACAATGCTAATTCAACCAATCCTTTTTCCTCTCTTTGTGATAAAGAATCAGGATTTTCTAAAAAAAAAGATAAGGATTAAATATTAATTATGAGAATTATTATATAATTAAAAAAAAAATTTTCAAAAAATTTTCATAAATTATACCTTTAAGAATCTTATAATATTTTTTTCCAGCAAACCAACAAATTTTTTCAAAATAAGGGAAACGATATTTTATTGGAACATCTACACGTTTTTCTATCTCATAAATTGCTAATTGTCCTCCGATATTATATCCATGTAAGAAATTCCCACCTATAATTATTGCATCTTCAGGTGTATATACAGCATGAATCCATCCAGTTGGAATTATCCTAATATTAAATATAATTAAAATTTATTATATAGTACCACCTATGAAAGAATTTATTATAACAAATTATTGAAAGTAAAAAAAATAATACTTGCATGGTATTACCAGCACGAATATGCACTTCGTAACAATCTTTAACCAAATCTGCAAAAAAAGTCATGGATTGTTCTGGTGAAGATATCCATCTTGAATATTTTTTCAAATTTGGTGGAGTAGGTCTAATGAAATAAAATATTTTGGATCCTTTGATAACATGGTAAAAGACGGACGTTCCACCGAAATCGATGTGAAAATCTGTAAAGCTATCTTTGATACTCATAAGACAATAAAGTTGAACCTTGGGATATTCAAAAGCTTTTAATTCTTTAGGCCATACGTGTTCGCACCAATCGAGCTCTCTATGGAGATGAGAACATTTTTACCAAGGAGAAACCGGAAACATTATAAGCTGGGAAGACAACGCAAGCATTATGAGGATAATGTAATACCCAATTGTCCTTTTTTGTGTATGTTTTGTATCTATATATGTAACTATTTATTATAACTATATAGTATCTGTGTAGTATCTGTGTATGTATCTATATACAGTATGTATCTATGTACATATCTATGATACGTATCTATGTATGTATTTAATTACTATTTTTTTTTATCTATTTTATTCGGACAATATTATTAACTTACCTTACGATTCGTGGTCGAACTATAGAATCACCTAAAGGAGTTCCACTAATCTCTAAGCTTATAACATTCAAAACTTGATCCCGCTTTGGTCCATCGAAATAATTAGCCCATTGATACATATTCCAACTAGGTTGTTCTTGTTGCGTCGAAACATCTATTATATATTATTATTGTTAACTTACTATATAATTCTTTTTAGATGATTATTATAAATGTTACCAATGACGTCAACAGGCGTATCGTAACCTAAATAATCAAAATAATTATGTAATTGTCATCACGTACATATATCATTTCATTTTGTAGATTAAAAAAAAAAATAATAATAATAATAAATTTACCAACAGTTGCTGCGATATAACTAACAGTTATATCTTTTGAAGGCATTTTTATATCAAGTCCTTCTGGATTATCTATAAGAATTGGTTCATCAAATCCAAAAGTTCGAATCCAATCTAATGTTAATTGATCACCTCGTACTTTTGGAAATTTATGATTAATAAAAGATTTTGAATCAAGAACTCGTTTCCATTTATATGGATTCCCGGTTAAGCCATTTTCCAAGTCAGCATAATTAATCCTAGAATGTTCACGTAGGGATTTTCGTACTTTGTCTAAAAAAAGATTAGTTGGTCATTAAATAATTTGTAGTGACGTTTACAATTCAAAATGGATAATCAATTAACTTTTGAAAAAAAAAAAAACTTATATAAATGAAAAAAATAAATTCATTGCTTATATAATGTAATAATACAATTAAATATATTTTTACGAATTTTTTATATAATAATTTTGCTTACAAGTACTTGGACCATGAGATATTGCACATTTTGGACAATGATATTCATCAATTCGTTCACATTCTTCAGCTGGAAGTTTAAGACAAGCGGCATGACACCAAACAAGACAAATATCACATTTTATCCATGTTTCCGTATTTTCTTGAAGCCAAAGAGGCATGAACCGGGGTTTATTATCACATAACGGACAATTATCGGCTTGAGGTGGCTCTACTTGAGTTGAAGACATCTTTATAAGTTGTTATCTAAAAAAAATGTAGGGTTTTTTTTTTTTATTAATTAATATTAATGTCTATTTTTTATGGGTTAACGAACAATTATTTGATTAATAACACAATAACTGAAGAACTCCTAATTCTAAAATATTCTAATATTATGAAAAAAGCAAGAATTAATTTTGTAAGTTGACAATCTAAAACGAGTCGAAAGGTTATGAAAGAAAATAACTGTCTCGAAGATGTCTCTTACTAGTCAAGGTAAGAAAAGTGCAAGTTCTCTGCACAGATCTCACCATATAAGTTTATGATGCGGTCATAATCACGTGCAAAGCTCGCCACTTTCCTTATTTATGGAATTATAAAAATGCCGGTGGGCATTGTGTATATATGGTATTATTTCAAAAAACGTCATGTCAGATAAAGCAAGCAAACGTACAAGAGAAGATCCTGAAACGATCTCAGCAGAAGAACAAGGTAATCTTTTGATTAAACTTTAGTTTATTTAATGTTAGATCGATCAGCTTTACTTTGATTATGAAACTTTCGTTGTACGAACAAAAATTAAAATATCTTATTGAATCTTTATAGATGACGATGATCTTGACATTGGACCATCTTTACCAACAGCAGATGACTTGCCGAAAAAGAAAAAAAGGGGTAATTTAATTGATTGATTTTATCATTCTAACCTTTTGACTAGAAAGTTGTTGAATATTAAATAATCTTTATGCTTTTATAGTTTTAGTTCATGAGAAATTATATTTGGATCATTTACCATCGGCTGATATGTACGAACGAAGTTATATGCATCGTGATGTTTTAAATTATATAGCTGTTACAAAGTAATTAATTATTATTTTATATATATATATATTATTTAATATATAAATGCACTATGAATATTAATTAATTATATTTTTGATCTAAATAAGTACGGATTTTATGATCACAACGTCAGTCGATGGGCATTTAAAATTTTGGAAAAAAAATGAACGAGGAATAGAATTTGTTAAACACTTTCGATCACATCTTGGTATTTTTTTTTTTTCTTAAAATTTTTACCTTTTTCTTTTTTAATTGTATTGTATTGTATTAATTGAATGTATTATGTTGCTTGTGTATCACATAGGAAACATAACGGGCATCAGTGTATCCGCAGATGGACTATTACTTGCTACTGTAGCCATAGACAAAGCATTGAAAGTATATGATGTAGTAAATTTCGGTAAATAACATTTTATTGATTGAATCATTGTCATGAGTATAGCCATGAGTGTATTAAATTAACCTTATTTCCATATTCAGATATGATCAACATGATGAAATTTGATTATGTACCAAATTGTATTTGTTGGATTCACAAAAGGGGGCAAGCACAATCTCTAGTAGCTTGGTAAGTCATGTGATCTTTGGTCATTCATATCTAAGGAATATACAAAGTAATATTAATTACTTAATTACTTAATTACTTATTAGTTCAGATCATAATTCAAACAAAATTTATATTTATGATGGAAGAGGTGATTCCACACCATTACATATACTTCCAGATATACATTCCAGTCCTGTTCATTTAATGGCAGTATGTTTTAAATTTACATATTTTTAAAAAATCTGCAAATTTTGCGTTGCATTGTTGATATTTTCACGAGAATGTTTCACGAGAATGTTTCACGAGAATGTTTCACTAGAATGTTTCATGAGAATGTATAAATATATATATATATTTTTTTATTTTTTTTTAGTACAACGAGGCTTACCATTGTGTTGTGTCAGCAGATTCATCGGGTATGGTAGAATATTGGTCACCTGATGAACCTTTTGAATTACCAAAAACAGTTTCATTTGAATATAAATCTGATACAGACCTTTATGAATTTAAGAAGGTAATAATAATTTAATGATTCCTAAAATGTTTTATCAAGGTTATATTACATGTTCACAAAACCTAAAATCTTTTTTGTTTTTCTTTAGTCCAAATCTGTTCCAACATCATTGACATTTTCACCAGATTATAAACAATTTGTTACCATGAGTATTGATGATCGTCAAGTACGCGTTTTTAGGGTTTCAACTGGAAAGATGACCAGAAAATATGATGAATCTTTAACAGTTATGGGAGAAATGCAACAGGTTTGTTGTATTTCATATTTGTTTACAAATTAATTTAATACGCGTTATTAATTAAATTTTTCATATGCGTTTATTAATTAAAATTTAATATGCGTTATTAATTAAAAAATTTCATATGTGTTATTAATTAAAATTTAATACGTGTTATTAATTATGCATTATTAATTTGCTTGCATACTATAGGCGGGTACAACTATTTACAAGTTAGACGATATGGAATTCGGTCGTCGTCTGGCTGTCGAACGTGAATTGGAAAAGACACAACAAGCTAATACCATGAATGCAGGTTAGATTAAATTAATTTATATATTTAAATTATGTACTTCAAAATACTATTATAAATTTTAAAATGAAATTTTTTTTTTTTTGTTTAGTATTCGATGAGAGTGGAAATTTCATAATTTATCCTACTATGTTGGGTATTAAAGGTTAGCACATTTGATAACGTTTTATGTGATACATACTTAATATTAAAAAATATATAATATTGAAATATAATTTAAGTGGTTAATTTAACCACAAATAAGGTGGCGAGGTTAATTGGAAAGACGGAACCTCATCGTTTTTTAAATATGTCATTATATCAAGGAGCACCGAAGAAAAAAATGATTGTAACATTGGTAAATACATAGATGATTTAATTATTGTTATAAAAAGACATTGTAAAGATTTTTTTTCATGAAATTGAATTATATTATGAATTATATATAGTTGACGTGAAATATTTAATCATGTTTAGGCAATGGCAGCATCAGATAATCCTTTGATGAAAGAAAGTGAAGCTACAGATCCAACTATATTTTGTACAGCATTTAAGAGAAATCGATTTTTCATGTTTACACAGCGGGAACCTGACGCGTTAGTTATTTTATGTAAATTTGAGACATTTTATTTTACTTGTATATTAATTTAATATTAAACAAAATATGAAAAAAAATTATTTAGACATGATTCACACAAAGGAGATCGAGATGTATATAATGAAAAACCTTCACGCGAGGAACAAACAGTTGCCTCAGCCACACCAACCAAACAGAAATTAGGAAATACGGCAATTTTACGTACAACATCAGGAGATATTCATATAAGATTGTTTCCTGAATATGCACCAAAAGCAGTTGAAAATTTTGTAACACACGCAAAGAATGGATATTATAATAATGTGATATTTCATCGAGTTATAAAAGGTTTCATGATTCAAACAGGAGATCCACTTGGTAAAAAAAAAAAATGAATGAAATACTTATTATGGATAACAAAAAAAAAAATATTAATAATAATATTTGTATCATTGTATAAATAGGAGATGGTACGGGAGGAGAATCAGCCTGGGGGTCAGAATTTGAGGATGAATTTCATAGAGATCTTCGTCATGATAGACCATACACAGTAAGTATGGCTAACGCGGGACCTAACACTAATGGATCACAATTCTTTATCACGGTTGTTCAAACGGTAAATTAAAATTACTATTATTATTATCGTGATTTTTTGTATATTTAATGATTTTTTGCTAAAATTATTATTATATATCATGTATCATATTTTTTTGAATCACGAAATTTATAGCCATGGCTTGATAACAAACACACGATATTTGGAAGAGCAACAGCAGGAATGGATGTGATTCATACAATAGAAAACGCCAAGACTGATAAATTAGATAAACCATTCGAAGATATAAAGATCCTTAATATAGAAGTTCGATAATAAAAACTTGGAATTTTTTTTTTTTTAAAAAAAGAAGTAGAGATATATATATATACAAAAAAATTTTTTTATATATAGTATGTACAAAAATATAATCCGTTATTTACACAACCATTGGTAATGTCTGTTGTTGCTGTTGGATTAAGAAAATAAAATAAAATAAGTTGATTATTAGTTAAATATTAATAATTAATTGTAATTATCAAATTGTTATCAAATTTGTTATCAAATTTGTTATCAAATTGTTATTAAAAAGTTTAAAAGTACTTACGTCAATTATAGCACCTCATTATCAACAATTAATAATACATAACCAAAAAATAAAATAAAATAAAAATTATTTAGGAGGACCAAACATTTTAGCTTCCATTAATTCTTCAATACAATCAACGCTAGCTGAACGAAGTAAACAAATCATATTCTCAGTACCCTTAATATCCGACCAATGACTATGAATAAAATCATAAGCAGAGTTTTTTAATAAGAATTTACTACCAAAACTATTTGATTTCCAACCTAATTCCAAAACTTGATCCCAATTATCATAATCCACAGTACGAATAATTTTATCAGCAACCAATTGACAAAGTTGTTCCAATCTCATCATATCAGCATTAATATAAACATCTTTAAGAATTGAAAAATCTAAATTATCATCTAATTTAAGAGTATATAAATAATAAAGTATGGTACGAAAAGTATCGAAAGGAATATGTTTTATTGGAATTGTTTTTAAACTACCTTCTTTCCAAACACCACCCAAGAATTTTTCAAAATATTCCGAACGTTGAACTAGAATTATCCTGTGAGCTTTTATAGTACGAATAATTTTAGAAGATTTAAGTAAATTATTTCTAAGGTCAATTCTAGTATCAATTCTAGTATCAATTCTAGTATCAATTTTAGTATCATTTCTAGTATCACTTCTAGGATCATTTCTAGGATCAATTCTAGTATCATATCTAGTATCACATCTAGTATCACATCTAGTATCACATCTAGTATCAGGACAAGATAGATCAGCAAAAGAAGAAGGAGAAGAAGAGGAAGAGGAAGGAATATCAACGGGATCATCATCTTCAAAAGTAAAAGCCACATCATAATAAGCTTCATTATTAAAGAATTTTTCAAAAGAAGCGGGAGAAATTAAAGAAGAAGAACAAAGATCGGAAGGGAAAAAAGGATTAGATAAATCCGAAAAAGGGGGTAAAAAAGAATTATTATTATAAATATGAACACGAACAACTAAATCAACTTCATTAATGTTTATATCATCAAAAGGAAATAAATCATGAAAAGTTCCTAAAGTAGGGAAACCATAAGTAGAATTTATACCATGAAATTCGAAATCCCATTTTTGTAAAGAACCTTCATAAATTAATTCAGGACGTTCTTTTGAAGAATCTTGAAATAAAGAATTATTTCTTGAAAAAGTAGAAGAACTATGACAATGATCAGATCTATTTGAAGTTAAAGAAGTTGATTGACAAGATTTTATTAAACGATAAAGTAAAAATTTGAATTGAACACTTCGTTTAAAAAAAAAGTTTTGTTTTTCGAAAAGAGTTTGAATTGCCTCCAGATAAATTGAAATGTGACCAGCACAAGATTTTTTAGTAGAACCATTAGGATAAATTCTCATACGCCATAGATAAGCAGAATCGTCGTTTGAAAGAGGAAAGTTATTCTTTTGCTTACGATTTACTTGATTAAATGGACAAGTAGGATTTGTTACCTGAGGGTGAATGTGAGGTTGTAAAGGAGGAGGTTGTAAATGAGGTGGTAAAGGAGGTTGTAAGTGAGATTGTAAGTGAGATTGTAAGTGAGGTGGTAAATGAGGTTGAGCAGAACATAAAGAAAAGTCATTTGTCCAAGTTCCAGGGGGACATAGTAAATTTGCGTCGAATAAACCTCTTGGAGATCTAAACCTGTCACTATACAGGTAACTATTAAAAGACATGAGTCTAACTAACTCATGGAAACCTCTTAATGTCCAAGAATGAACGTAAGGTTGTTGTTGTTGTAAAGTAATTATGCCGTTTGAAGGTTGTATTATTGATAATGGTTCAGATATTATAGAAGTTTGTGTAGAGGCAGTTTTATCCATTGAGAGGTGTTTTATTTATTTATTTTTTTTTTTTTTTTCTGTTGGATAAGTTGAAAAAAAAAGAATAGGGAAAACATTTGATTTATATATATATTTTTAAATAAAAATTTATAGCATTGTTTAGATAAATAGTTAAGATTTTTTTTTTTTTTTAATGGCCTATTTAGGGCTAGACCCGTTCGTTTCTGTTTGTCACTCTTTTCATATTTCCAAATAACCATATCAATACAGTATATACATACGGATTATGATAAAATAAAGTGAATGATCCACTGCATGCAAGACAAACTTGAAACCCAAAGATATAAAAAATTTACCAGTTCAATTACTACGTACAATATTATTATAATATTAGTATTACTACGTATAATATTATTAATAATATTACTATAACTGTATAATATGAAACCGACTTTTTATCCTATAACGATAAAACTCATTTGAATTCATAAATTAAGTACAAATAAAGAAATTTAAACATTAAGTAAATATAATAAAAAAAGAGATTTGTATTGCGCTCGGAAAATACACGTCGGGAACCGACGCAACAAGATCAGCAACTAATGATCGGAAAAACTACAACCGACATTAAAGTTTATCAATTATGTAAAAATCAGTTAATTTGTACAAAGATTACTATTTTTCTTTTGTGGTAAAATAATGACAATGACGGAAATATGTTTTTTTTGCGGACCGAAATTTCATAGTGTACATCTTTTTTAGTGTACATCTTTTAGTGTGTGCATGAATGATTGAAAATTACATAATCTTTGATAGTCGTGTGACAACAAAAAAAAAAAACAAAAAGACCCGGTGACATCTAATTTTCGAAGTGGCTAACTAAACAAAAAGACCATCCCCTTTTTTAAACTTTCTTTGAAAGTTTTATGAGTTTCATGTGGCGAATTTATTGATGTTATCACGTTATTCATACGACTATTGCTTACTTGATCTGGACTTACTGTAGAATTTACCTGAACCTATTTGAACTATATTGGGCATTCATAAATCACTAAATTTGTACATACGTAATTCTAATACGTTATATTTGCTTTGGATTAGCCAAAGTCACAATCTCAAAAGAACAATAAGACTATTTTAAATTATTGTTCGGAACCCTGTTCCTATTTTCTTTTAAAACCCAAAAAACTAGTGTATATAGGAAAAAAATGAAAAAAAGGTTTACTGTATTATATAAATGACAAAATGAAATGCTGAAATGTTGAAATGTTGAAATAGGTGATAATAAATAATCTGAAATAATCAATAGAATTCTGCTTCTTATTCGCATACATGCATACGTACATGCTCACTCACGCACGCACGTATGACACTAACGCAAGTAATTAATCTAAAGTGTTGGGCGATTGACTTTTTAAATGAGTTATTTGGTTACGATATTTATTTGAAATATTGTTTTAAATTAGTTGTAAATTAAAAAGCTTTTTATGTACGTATTAACACATACCAGTACCACGATTTAATTATGAGTCAAATGATCGTCGCACTTAAATTTTATATTAAAATTTGAGTCAAAAATGCTTCCCGACCCTTATTTGTAAAAGGTGTAAAAGGTGTTGTTGAAAATACGGAGGATACGGTTTATACTATTTGTTTATTAAAAATGCACCTCATTTAACCAAAATCGGATGATGATCATCAGGGGAATTGTTTTGGTCAAATGAGGTGTGTCCACTAATAAACAACGTAAAAAAATTGATAAAATTTGTAATTAGAATTTTTTTAACCCCTAAAATTTTATGAGAAGAACCTTCAAATGCTAGAGAATAAGCAAACCTTTACTCCCAAATTAAACTGTTTATTTCTTTTTTATTAAATAAGACCGGAGATCATATTTTTATATGTATATAAAATTTAAGTGTGACGATTATCTCGTATTACTGGTACATACGTACGTCAGGGACAGTGATTTACCAAGATTACCCAATCACAATACATTATTTGGTATAACACAATACTGTATAACGTGATCAGTAATATCAGTAATGTAACTTATGTTTTTCTGTTTGTTGATTGTCTACGTTTCCGAAACTTACCGACAGTTCAGGTTGGCCAAATTTGTGTTGTCCGGCCCAAATTATACACTTAATTTTGCGATTTATTTTTCACTGTTCCTGCAAGTCGTATTACTGATGCTAACAGTACGTATAGTACGGTGCTATACGTACTAACAGTATGTATAAGTACAGTACTATACTGTATATACTGTATGTACATACCTTGGCGATTCATTTGAAATTGTAAGTTTTTGTTTATTTATAATAATAATTCGTTTCTCTAACTGAAAATAACGACATGTTTGTTTTGTAGCTACACAGCATTTTTATTATTATTATTTTTTTTCTCATAATGCAACATGATCAAATGTACAATAAACAACAAATTTAACTATTGGTTTTCTTATTTAGAATCACAACTTATAGTAACCTTTATTTTTTTTCATCATTAAATTTATTTAGATTAAATAGGTTAATTTTACATATGATATTATAAATAATCTAAACAATTATGCGTATTTAGCTATGTATATAACTATGTATATATAACTATGTATATATAACTATGTATATATAACTATGTATATATAACTATGTATTTATAAATGAAATATAACCTATATATTGACTTGAAAAAAATTGTTATTAAATGTAATTATTGTAAAGTATTACTGTAATTTATTACAGTAATTATTACTGTAATTATCACTGTATTACTGTAAGTATGAAGGTACTATACAGTAATGTCGCATAATTTTTTTTTTAATATTTCTATTTGTAGGGGTTTCAATTATTATAAAATTATAAATCTTCCGGCTTTCATGTAGCGGTAGGCGTAAACTAGCGCGTATCAGTATCTCTAACGAAAATGCTAACCTCTTCACCTTATTTATAATTGATTCATTGCAGATCATATAACAACCCTCGACTAATTATAGATTAATTGATCCTAACACTAAGATACGTCACACCAGTTTATCATTTATGCATTAGTTCCGCTTGAATTATTTGCAGCAATGAGCATGTCTGAAATGTGTGCCAGGTTATGCAAGCTGTCGATCATAGACCATCGATTAACATGACGCTTGTGATACACTTTATTACACTATTACACTATTATGCTCTAACGAATAATATATGAGGTTATATTTGAAAAACTGCTAACCTTAAAGGTTATATTTGAAAACTAGGTATTTGGAGTGAAGGTTATATTTTAAAACGGTTGATCAATAATTAGGTTATATTTAAATTTATGTTAAATGAGTTTAATACAGCGAATCTCGTATTTGAGATAATGAACATAAAAGACGAGCAAGGTCAGAAAATTTTTGAGAAAACCTCTGAGAGTAAGAAAAAAGCATTATCTTTAAAGAATTATATACCTAATAATTGAGTTATGGCTAACAGATAAGTAGCAAAATAAAAATGCCAACAAAAAAATTATTACACACTATTATACGTTGAAAATTATGCTTTGATTTGAAAGTTAGCGTTAGTCGATTAATAGACTATTTAGTTGGCAATTATCTATTAGTTGTCTAGTTAACGTAATTTTTTTCTTACAATCAGTCCATCAACTAGTTGATAATTGACTAACCCGATCTCTTGTTTCTTTAATGAAATGTATTATTAATCAAATTAATTATTGAGTAGGGTCACCTATACCACAAGAGATTCTAGTTAATTAGTCGATGGGTGGACTGATTAACTAAATTGACTAATTAAATTTAATCAATAATAATAGTTGATGACTAAAAAATTTTTCGACTGATCTATAGACTTGTAGCTTAAAGATTATCATTATTTATTAAAGTCAATTAGTTAATTGTCAATCAATGATTATCGTTATCGTTATATTTTTTAATTACCAATCAAATCCATTTATTTTTTTTTTTAGTTAACTAACAGCTAAAATTCTTATCCTTACTTATGACGATAGGTAGAGCTCATATTCACGGTTAGAAATGGATACTCATTGAATATCCAAATATTTGGTTACGCAAATATCACAGATAATCAAAGTTGGTAATCAATATACGTAATTGATCTGTATATATTCATGAATATTCGCGTGAAGATTCGCGATTATGAATAATAGAATAGGTATTCATCAAAAATCTGCGAATATTTACTGAATAGTCATAACGGATATTCAAAGAATTCGACCTCTATACGTAGCGATAGGCTTCACAAAATCTATCAAATCAGTTAGTCATTGATGCAAAATTTTAATTAATGAGACAATAGCATACTTATTAGGTAAAGCTGCTCAACTTATTCGTAATTTTTGTTATAATGATTTATAGTTGACTGGTATATTTTGTTGCTTAATGATGGTTTATAGATTTGTTACCATGTGATTGTGTATGGTATACCCTATCTATGAAGCTTAAATTATTTATCAACACATGTAATTTAAAGTTCAAAGAATACATTCTAATTGGTTATTACACATTTGCCTTCTGATCAACTAATTAATATCAAAAATCAAACTTTAGATACATAAATCAGGTAGTGTCCTTTGGACAATGATAAATCTTTAGATGTTCAATCCGTCTCTCATCACGCGATTTTTGTATTACACTACGGTCGAAGCACCTAGCAATATATGTCGATATATCTATATATATATATATTATATAAAAATTTAAATATTCAATCCGTCTATAATCACGTGATTATTGTATTACATTACCTAGTTATCGTTATAATTATATATTATGTGCAACCTATTTTCATCTTGACATCATTAAATAAAATTTATTAATTAATTTAAATTGAAAAATCATATTTTATTTTTTTAGTAAAAAAATATGAAGGAAAATATAAAGGAAGTGTAAAAACAAAAGCTATAGAATAGGAATGCTAACAGTCCGGTCGAGTTCAGTCTGGTTAATTTTGGTCAAAGTCTGGTCTGGTCTATTATAATCTTCGATCGTAAAGCTTTAGTAGTCCAGACTGGTCCAGACCGGTCCAGACCAG